TATTCTAAATAATTGTCGTGAATCAATATCAATTCTAACAATGAAAATCGTTGCTTTTCGAACAGAAAATAAATAGATACATATATATATATCCTCGACTGCAACTTCATAATAATCCATCCTTCTCTCTGCCTTCTCAAAAAACACGATAGCTTCTCAAAGCTTCTCTCGAGGAGTTGCCTCAGCCCGACAGTTAGAGGCTCGTCTGTCCAAAGAGAGGGGCTAGTTAGCAGGGAAGCTCTCCATGGCCTGTTCCCGTGCTGCCGTAAACAATGGTTTTAGCGAGTGCGTACACACAGCGCGGACTCCCACGGTTTCGCGTGCACAAGGAACAGGGAACGTCCCTACGAGGCCGGTCTTTACGCGCACTTTGCCCGCTTGCACCGTTCACCCACTTTGCTTTAGTTAAGGCTGTTTCCTTGCGTTTTCTTGCCAGAGACTTCTCTCTCTCTCTCTCTCTCTATATATATATATATATCGCGGCGTCCAACGATCGTCTGGCTTTTACCCGACGTTTACTCGCCGTTCTAGCTACATTCCAGCGTCCATTAGGCGACCAGCACGAGCCCCCTGCCCCCTGTTTCGAAACGCGCCGCGGAAGGTTATGCGCCCGATTGCCTCTACCAGCTAAACAATCATCCTTCCACTCTCATTTCCGATAAGTTCCTGCCCTTTTTGCTTAAACCCAGAGGGAGATGCAGTTTCTTGCGCCCCCCTCCTCGACCACAGCGCCGCGGGGTTCTTCCTCGTCCTCGCGCGGGAAACGACGGAAGACGATCGTCGGTTTTCTTTTTTTTTTTTTTTTTTTTGATTTTTGGACGATGTGACAATTAAAATTGCTCGTGATAATAATAAGCAAGAAGAAAGTTTGAACGATATAATATTATCGATTTAAATTTTATATTGTTCTTGCTGAAACATCTGTACGCATCTGTGAAGGGCGCGAGCGGATCTTATTTTCCCGCCTCGAAGGTATGGCGGAACACGGGTGCCGTTTCGAATTTCACGGATGACCGGCGAACGAACGCCCAATGACAATTGGCCAGCCAAGCCGAGGGAAGATTTTACGCTTTTACTCTTCCCAGGCCGATCCTTGGGACCGCGGGAACGAGAGATAATCTTTACTCGTTTACCATTTGCCTTCGATCTCTTCTTCCGTGCGTTTTGTATTAATATTACGTGGCCGTAGCATCGCACGAGAATTCCGCGAACAAAATCATTTTTTCGAAAGCAAATATATACACGAGGATTATTTTCTACCTCGTTTTCTGTAAGAGGCGCTGTTTCCACTTGTTGTTACGCGAAAGGTTAGCTTAAAAGCTACGCTTCTCTCGGATATCGCTCGCCGAGGATACAACAAAAGGAATATTTGAAACGGAATATAATGGAATATATAAACGGAATCGAAACGCCTTTCGTATCTTCGAAACATCAGGAAATATATAACGCGATAATGCAACGAGATATGAAAATAATAATAAGAACGATAAGGATCCTAAATATTGTGTTATTATCCGCAAACCTTTTTTTCTTCTTCTTCAATATCTCGTGAAACTTAAAGTAAACCTTTATCGAGTGGATGAAAGAGTATTCGGAACAATGGATATCGATTCGATTTCAAGCGTTGGAAAAGTGAAAGGAGAACGAACGGAAAAAAAAAAAAAAAGAAATCATCGAGCAAGAATCGAAAAGAATCGACGACAAATCTGAACTTCGTTCGAAATCCCCTTTCAGGGCAATGAACATCCACCATCCACTACTAATTATTCTTCCCCTACAAAACTCGAAAAAAAATTCGAAACCGAAAACGAGCCTCATTTAAAACTCTAAAACTCGAGAAATCGAGCTCCCCCTCCCCAATCGAGCGACCACCAACGAAACGAAAAATTCAATTTACACCCTGAAACAATCGAATCATCTCGACTTCCTTCCACCACGGAGGAGGTCGCAAGAAAAGCAATTCCACCGGTGGAACCGAAATCGGGGAGAGGCGGAGAGGAGGGGGGCTAAGCGGCCATCTAGGTCGGCGATCCGCGCGCGCGGGGGTATCGGCCGAAACGCTTCGTCTTCCATTCATCCTTTCATTCATCCGGTGGTGGTGGGATAAGGAAGAGGGGAGGGGGAGGGGGCCCAGGCCACGAAGGCGGCGGCCTTCGCGCCGGTAATAAGCAAAAAAGCGGAGGCCAGGCGGCCCATTACGCGGGGGAAGAGCGAGGGAATCGTCGACCACGGGCGTAAAAAGCATGGCGAACACGATTCGAGAGCCGCGGTTCGAAGGTTTCGTTTTTGCCACGCCGAGCCCGCTTCCCCAACCCCCGCGCCCCCCGCCGTTCCCTTAGGCCCCGGCATTGTCTACGGTATTCTTGCGCGGGAAACGCGGCAGAGGGGGAGCGAGACCGGCGGAGGGGTGCGCCCTGCATCCCCCCTCCACGGGTTTCTCGAAGGGGGTGGCGCGCCTGCGGCGCGACTAACGGGGAGGAAGAAGGAAAGGGAGGAGGGATTTTTCACGTGGAGGATGGATGGATGGATGGGTGGGTGGGCGGGGGGGGAGGGAGAGGGAGAGGGAAGGAGTCCCCGAGTTGCTTTCTTCGTTCGGCAAGGGTTTGTTGTTGGCATTTTGTTGCTCGTCATTTGAATGGTCGGGCCACGGTCGTTTGTTTGTACGTGGAGATATTTTCTTGGAAGCGTTCGGGACCGGGGAGTGTATGTTGATAGTTTTTGAGAGGAAGAAGAGATGCTTTTTGCGGCATGAGTAAGGTATTTACGTCGAGGGGAATGTTTACGTCGAGGATATAACCAAGGATGAGAAGAGATGATCGCACGTGAGAATGTAATCTCGTATGATATCGTTATAATGTATATAATTATATATGTAATATATTATATTATTATATAATATTATAACGATATCGATGATTGATTTGACGTCGTAATAACTGTTTGGATTTTGGAGCATGAAGTAAAAATGGAAGGAAATATTACGAAGAGTTGAAATAAGAATAATATATATATATACGCAATATTGTTTAATTTATTATTATTTTTATTTATTATAAGATATATATCTAAAGTATAGAAAGGAAAAATTATATCGAAAAGAAAAACCTATATTGTTTAATTTTTATCGTTTAAAATTTAGTATCAATCGAAAAAAATTATAGAAATAATAAATATATTATTAAAAAGCACTCATCGATGTGAAAAATGCAATAAAAATTACCGAAGACAAATATCGATGAGTGTTGTCAATTAAAATTTAATATAACAAAAAAAAAAAAATTTCTTATTCGAAAAAGATCGTAAAAATATTAACATATTATTACAAAACACTCATCGATGTAAAAAAATAATGCATGAAAATTCTATACTACGATCGAAAAATAAATATATATCTATCTATCTACGTTTTTAATTTAAAATTCGAATGCACACGAAATAAATCATGCAAGGATTTAAACACATTGTTACGAAAGAATCAAGTGGCCGTGCCAGAAGTCACGGTAATAAAAAGAGATGGCAAAAATATAAATAAATATGTGAAATGAAAAACACTCACCGGTGTAGAAAACTCTCCATCACCGTGACGTTGAACGTTTTTTCCCAAGGCCGTTCTATCGTTGCATCTCCATTCACATCTTCGATGGAATCACTAAAAAGAATAAAATAAAAAATGCACGCTCGAAAATTTATTAAATTCGCACGACACGTTTACGCGACCAAGTTTCACATACGCGAGCACGAACGCGACTGTCTCGTCTCGCTTTCGAAAATTTTCGAGGACGGGCATATGTACAAAGACGGTATGGTGGGATTATAAACAAATTTTGAACGCGTAATTCGAGCGATAAAGGCCTCGTGTTTTGTTTTTACACATAATACAATAGAATAGAAATCGTTCGACGGAATATTAATAGCATTTAATATTTAATTTTTATTTATTATTTAACATTTAATATTTATTTTTTACGAATTATAACATATTTGTTATTGGTATAATTTTAATGGATAATTGTAAAACAGAATATTAATTCGATAAATAAATTTTGTAATTCAACGTTTAAATTGTTTATAAAATCAATATATTTATATTATTAAATATTGCAAATTAACCCTTTCATACTTAAATATATTACTGGAATGAGATAAATTTTTTGTTATCAATTATTGATAACAGAAATACATTTTTTTTCAATTATTTAATAATTAAATAATATTCAATTGTTTAATTAATATTTTAATTAACGATTATTCTATATATTATCTCAAATTAAATTTTTTAAACAATGTGATTTCACATTGTTAAAAAATTATACATTATATCGATGTAAAAAAAGAAAGAATTATTTATAAATATATATGAACATCCTAATTAAAAAATTATTCAAATAAAAATCTCTTTTATTCCGTATTACATAATAAATTAATATTATTATTTTATTATTATTAATATAAAACGATAACAAATACAATTATTAATACCACGTGTCATTAATCCTTGAAATAATTATCGAATCGGAGAATTTTTTATTTTGCATTTTGCTATTAATCAATATTATTATTATTATTATTATTATTATTATTATTATTATTTTTCCTTCGTAATTTCATGTATGTTGCAGAAAGAGACGAGGGGTTGAACAGACGCCTCGTCCAA